TTCATAGGTGTGCAGATGGCTCACTTATCCCTTCGAGTCTTTCTAATGCGAACTCATCGACCGATGAATATATTATGCTTCGTGTTAATGTTCATTAAAATTCATTTTTACAAACATTATATTTCACATTATTTGTGATAAGTATCATTTAATTTTAAAACTGACTCTCGATTGTGGGAGCTCACGTTCGCCACCTATGCGTGGCCACCAATGAGCGTCCCACGAGGCCCCGCGACGAAGAGGCCTAGCTGAGGAGCCTGGCCGAAGCCGACACGAAGCCCTCACCCGCGCCACCTATGCTGCTCCTCGCCCGGCGGCCGCCGCGGTCAGCTCAGCAACCCGCCAAATGCGTGTCGACGAGGCCTTCTCGGAAACGTAGTTTTCAATCGTGGAAACAACACCGATATTCTAGCGCGGCGCGCTGACCGTTTTCTTTCATACCGCTTGATGTAAATCTCCCTTTAAAAAAACAACTGCGAGCGTCTACAGTGCCTTCAAAAAATAAATTAAATATTTCGGCCATGCAGTGTAAAGCAATTACATTATTTCTATTAAGAATAAATGCATAGGATATAACATAAATGGTGCCATTTTGAACAAATTCAAACGCATATTCTAGTCTCCGTCTCGGTTCTATGACATCTAATACCTTTTCGTGAAACCAAAAGCATTTTTAGACAGCCATTAGAAAAGCGCTTACTTTTAGAGCGCGCTCAGCGAGCTAAAAGTTTAATTTTTAGCTAAAATTGCTAAACGTGAGTCAGTGGTCAAATGTTCAGATCAAACCGTGAATGCAACAAAGAAAACAAAATTATTTTGTCTGACCGCATCAGCAACTGCTATTTTTAACATAGAATAGTAGCCAATTAAATGGTTTGTATTATTGAATTAAAATAAAAAGAATGTCAGTAGAAATGGCTAAAAATTGTGCTTAACACCCGTGGTAGCAGTTATTTTCTTTTCATCACAGGTTGCGTCACTCTGCATATCGGCCTCGCGTTGCAGTGTTTCCTTTCGCAAAAGAAAGTGGCACTTTAACCACTCGTAAATATCTATTTTATGACCGCATATAAATCAAGAGGTTCGAAGTCTGCTGATATAATTGGATGTCACAAAGTACTTAATTGCTGAATGATGTCATGGATGCTAAAAAAACATGCTTCAGTATTCGCGACGGTAAGAAATTCATGCAAATATCCTAACTGAACACAGGAAGGAAACTGCGTGGCTGTGCCTTGTCGTCGACCGTCGGGCAGCCTCCGCCCACCGAGGTCGCACTCCACTGTGGAGGTCCGTGCGTAGGTTGCACGCTTGCACAACCCCGGGATAATCGAAAGAGATCTTATAATAAATGTTAGGAGTATACATTTTATTTGTAGTGAGATTCAATATTCAAGATATTGCAGCAAAATCGGTGTACATGAAATAATTTTGGAAAAAAAAGGTTACGTGTGCCTCTCAGACAACGACACGGAAGCTTACGTGTGCATGTCACTAATCTCTACGGGGAGAATGTTTTTCATGATACCAAGACCTGGCCTCTCAGCCAACGACGCGGCGCCCCCGGATAGCCAAGCATTTATGGATTCGAGCCGCGGAAGTGACGTGTGCAAAGAAGAATTTTGTTTTGTATATTTCCTTTCGTTTTTACTTTCTTACATGCCACATATTTACATAGTTATGAAATTTGTTTAGCGAAAAATGGCCATTTTCGGAACAAAAGTTGTATTACAGGCCCCTGATACCGAAAAAGTGGATATTTCTTGTTGATTTATAAAGTTAATGACTTTCTTCAACGCGTGAAGTCACAATCCACGTTTTGGGTGTCCTTTACGGCAAAATGTCTGTCCGACAGTCCATAACGCCAAATCGTAGACACAATTTGCATCAAAACTGATATTCCCCGATCGATCTGACTCATAATGCGATTTCTTAAATATTAGGCGGATTTTTTGTTTCTTTTGGGAGTAATTTACAAGAAGCCTAAAAGAAATTATCAAAACTTTTTCAAAAATATTTCCAATTTTTTTTTCTTTTCATTCGTTTTGGAGAAAATTATACCTACATAATAGGCCCAGGTTTTATTTTCATCAATGACTCTGACTTTTCGGAAATTGAAGATGTTAAAAAATGTTCTTGGTGTCTAACCCTACAACATTCCAGATATGTTTTTCCTTAATAAAATAAGTTCCTTTAAATTAGATATTTAAAGAATGTCGTATAAACATTTTTGAAAGTAGAGTAGTTTTTCCAAAATTTTAGGTTAAATACTGACAACTTTTAAAAATTACATAACACGATTTCCTCAAATCTGTAAACTTTTTGTACTTTGTAACTATTTGTACACGAACACATATGATTGCCATATTTGAAAATTGCAAAAGTTCACGTTTTTTTAAACCTTCCACCAAGGCCAACTTTGGTGCAATAGCTAGACAAATAATAGGGTCTACCTTCCATGTGTCGTTTGTACAGTGAGTAGTACACAATGGGTCAAAACTAACACGTGAAAATCTGTGGCGAATTAACGGTAGTACGTAAAAACACTTTTTATGAGCCATTCTGAACAATATAGTTAGTAAAGGTCTTTCAATAGCGCATGTTTTCAGTTGACAATGAATGCGTACAATCTTGCTCTAAAACTCCTCTACGGCGTCTGAGGACGACGAACGATTCACTGAAGGGCAACAGTCGATGCCTCCACGCGCTCGTCAACATTCAGCTCTGAATTTCAAAACGAAGCCATAATCCCTCAGACAATTTGTTTATTTGCTTTTTCTCTCTCGAATACTTTCTTGCGTGCTCTTCTCGCTGTTTGCGCCACTGTATGTCTGTATGTTTGCCAAAAACCAGTCACACAAGGTCACATTTAGAATTAATCCTTCTTGGGCGTAAACCCGAAATTCCTCAGTATTAATTGTCGCCAAGGCCTAACTCACAGAGAATTGTTGATTTTTTTTTCAATAAGGTGATCATTAATTCTTGTTATATATATACAAACACGTTTGAGTTTTTCCGCTATCATTTTTTGTGCCATAATCTATGTCGACGGATTTCAACAATTTAACTCAATTGAATCTTTTCAGAATCTCTGATGAATATTTATTCTCCAAAATTCTATGTAGAAGTGGAAGTTCTGGGAAAGTTATGGTTAAAGAAAACCATATTCCACGTTAGGTTTTCTTATAAGTCAGCTTGAATTTCAAGAAATTTATGGTTTTTGTATGGTGCATCTTGAATATTATCATTAACTGTCTAATACGACGATAAAAGTATATTACAATTCTAAATACTCGTATCACGTAAAACTACGAACTTCCAAGTACCACCATAGACATTTCGCTTTGCTGCATTAGTAGTCTTGGAAACACGGCCCACTTCGCCCACTTCGCTCACTTCGCGAAAGGGCCGCCGACTTCACGACGCCGCGCCTTCATGAGGTGATTGACAAGTTCTTGTTCGCTTTCTGTTGATTGATTTCAAGGAAGTCCATTTGTTCTGGATTTAAGTCTCTGGATCACATTTTGTATTCCAATGTTGCCAATCTACGAAGCGAAAGTTGACCACAGTGCGTCGGGAAGGCTGTTGTGCCAATTCAGGCGACTGGAGAAGTGCTTTGGTTAAGTGGTTATGCTAAGTGGTTGTCCTAACTGCTTGCTAAACCTAAGTCCCTGAGTTCGAATTCCAGTGTATTAAAATAATTATGGGACTTTTGCGGGTTTAAGAAGAATAGTATTAATTACGCGTTACAAATAATGAGAAAAAGTATGTGCTTTTGTAGCACCACAAATTATCCTTAATTTAGTTTGTGATATACATAATACTCAACGTGGATCTTTATTATTTTGTTTATTGAAATCAACAGGGTAAAAAACTTATACTTTTATTTGTAATAGTAGTATATTGTTGGTCAAATGATATACGAATATCATATATATCGTATATAATATAATGGTTTCTGTAGATGCGATAGAAAATGAGAAATTAAGTATATAAAGTTTCTAGGAATCAGGAAGTGATATGTAAAGTCGAAACGACATCCACTGATTTTAATTAAATACCCAGTTAACGTTAAGTCTGCTTTAGTGGCAGTCTACGCTACAGAACCCTTTGAATCTCTTCTCTGCCCTTCAGTTATTACTATGAGTCAGAATTGACACATCTCACATGCAATGCACTAGTGATAAGCACTGAATTGAAGATAACCGAGACCAAAAATAATGGGCTCGAAAGTTAGAATCGGCTGACATGTGTGCCTCTTACAACTAGGAAGATATCAGTGCCAGAGTCGATGTACGTCAACTAGTACGTACGATGTATATTCTTACCGGAAATGCTTACAATAATTCATTATTTAAATAAGGTTATTTTTGTGATAAATACTATAATCCATAAAATAATTTATCAATTACTGAATTTTATGTCCTATAATAATTCCAAATATTATTATTGATGCCGCATTGACTGTCACGTAACTGCAGTTAAGTGAAAATGTTAATATGTCAGACCCTCGGGACCTACCACTTCCAAGCGAAAACGAGTTTACAGAGGGTGCGATTATGTAAGGAAACGTCTCATATTATGTAATTCGCCTAACAAATAGTACTTTACGTAGGATTAAATGTTCCAAAAAATGAAAATCCAATTAATTACTCATCAGATTAAGTAGTATCCTCGTCAAGAAGTTGAGAAATTATCAGTCACATAGACCCGAAAATGTTATTGATACTACTAATTAAACATAATGGCATATGAGTGCGCACATTGCGGTTGTCGAATGGCAATGGGAAAACTTTTTTTCAATTCATATCATGCGAATGTCGGAGCGATACCGTAACAAACGAGGCACGGACCGCGCGCAGTCTTTCCTTCCGCATCCTCCTCTCACAGACAAACGAACACTCCGGGATCGGAAATCTAGAGGTCGTCCCGGCTGCGGTGGGGAGGGGGTAGCTCAAGCAGCAAACGCAGAGGGAGCGACTTACCGCGTCCTGGAAGACCTCGTCGAGGCGGGACTCCGGGTCCTTGCCCTTCTTGGTGCGGATGATGAGGTGGATGAACTCCAGGTCGGGGCAGGAGCGCAGCAGCTTCTGCAGCAGCACTTTGCCCATGAAGCCCGTGCCGCCGGTGAGGAGGACGGTGGCGCCGCTGTAGAACTGGCAGATGGGCGAGCGCCGCTGGGCGTCGCCGGGTGGCGCGACCATCTCTCCGCAGGCGGGCATCTCGTCACGGGGGCGCAGGGCGTCTGCGGACAGGCGGAGGCCACGGGTCACTTTAGGCGCGCGTTACGAAAGCGGCACCCGGCGCGTCGAGGGGATTTCCCGCACAGCCTGCACAGTCCTCCGGTGCCCGAGCACCCGAGCGCGCGCGATGTGACTGAGACACGTCGAAGAGAATTCCCCTTTGACGTCCTTGCCCCTTTCGGGGTCTACCGACGTCCCTCGGCGGAGTCGTTCTCCAGACGTAGCTGTTCCACAATCATTGCACCTACGAGGCTCGTTGGGTCTGTATCTGATATTCCTCGTACACTTGGACAAGCATACCTCGTGAGAACATCCAGCTTACTTCTGCTGAGAAGGAACGGACCCAGGCTACTAGGTGGCGGTGACGCTGCAATCCATCGCGCACCTCGTCTTATTCCCGCTCACACGACGAATTCATTTTGATTGATTAGCGATTCCCGGCGTGTAAACGGCTAGATTCAATAGTGTCGTCAGTGTAGTACATGTTTTCCCTCCAGAGGGGGCAACAATCTTCCTCTTCTGGAAGTTGACATCTGGCGCCGGCCTGCGCCAGCTAGCGGGGTTTTCCCGAACCAGGCACCTGTTACCAGCGGGAACAGTTCTACGCTCCGGACCGGTCTCCCGGCATGTGTGATCATGTCGGCCATGTAAATGTAAATGTGTGTGTACGTAAGAGGTAAGGATAGCACAAGGAAGAGGATGGGAAGATCGTGTGCGGTCGGTGGCCAGCTTTTTGAGGTGCTGTTCTGGCATTCGCTTGCTGTTGATCGAAGAAACCACGGAAAAATAACCGATCAGAGCAGCCGGCTACTCTAATTCTCCTCGAGACAGATACAGAACTCGTCCTAGCTATCTACCGTCGAAAATCCTGTCACCGTCGGGACTTGAACCAAGGCCCTTCGGGTCAGAGTCACTGAGTGACATCAGTTGATGCTCTGCGTCATCTCTCTTCCGGTACAATTGGTGAAAGGGAAGGAAACAAAGATTGGATGAAGTTCGAGGTATGCACGCTCTGCCACACACACACCTATGCCTTACGCGGGGTACCTAATGCAATGCTACTCGGGCGCCAATCCCCGACGTTCCTGCGCCACCCAGGCCGGCGGGAAGGGAAGGACGAGGGTTGAAACGCGATGCACCAAGTTTGGTACAACCCCGCACACAACACACAAGCAATCACCCGTTCTCCAGGCGGGATTCGCACCCAGACCGCTAAGGCGCAGCCACCTGAGCGATCTTGGCTACTCTGCTCAGCCACTAGGAAATAATTCACGTATTTTTCACCACTGTGTTGTTCCTACCAACTTTCTACGATATTTTTCACTACTCAAGGAAAGCAAGGAACTGTGCGTCAGCGGAATTCCATTGAAGAAAAGACTACGTTTACACTAATCTGTTTTCTAAATATTTTCCTATTTTATTTAAGACCGCTACGTGTTTTTATTCACTGCACTATGTACAAATATCAGCCAAGTAAACATTATGTGAAAACCTGAAACCGCTCTCCAAGCTTTGTAATCTGTCAACAAGCTCCTACGTGGTCTGGGGGCAACACATTGGTGCGAAATGTTAGGGAAACTCGCTGTCCTTCGCTCGACGTAGAGGGATGAGAATCCAATTTAAATATTGACCAGAACCCCAAACTTTTGAATGAAACCTCTGTGAAGTATTTGAGGGCTTCAGAATAGGTATCAGACGTTAGCTTTTTGTATATGAAGATTATATTCACTGAGACTAACTGAACATCAAATTATGCAATATCAACTAGAAACTAGCATTACGGAGGTATTTTAATAAACCATGATCTACTGTTAACAACATTAACCAGATATTATACGTAATGTAAGAAATGTTATAGCCTGTTTTCAGATGTGTACGTAAGCTTCCGCAGCTCGAATCCATGAATTTCAGCAGCTCGAATCCACGCGGCGTCTCCCGGATAGCCGAGAATTCACAGCCTGTTTTCAGATCTATAGCTTCCCGTTAATTATTACCAACAGCATCCTCTGGTCTTTCGCGTGTGTTACCTGTTTCTTTTATATTTTAAAGAAATTGTAAATTAAACTGTTTTTAAAAAAAGGGATATTTTGTTTCCATGTATATAACATAGATAGTTTACAAAATCTCGAACAAAACTGTCGTTCATTGGAATGTTTACTAGTGAACTTTGTACGACACTCATAATGTAACATCTTATTAGAATAATCCACGTCTTACGATATTAATTTCTAAAAGTAATAACTATTAACAGCAAATTTGTGGTGTAATTTTACTTATCAACGGAATGTAAACACAATTAGCACGTATTCCCTACGGAAAATGAATAAACTAGCTTGAGTCACAATATCTTTATACGCGTTTATACATTTACGCTAAATATTGAAAGATACTTTTACTGTCTTAAAATAGCTCAAGAAATTGAAGTTCATAAGAAACAGAAGGCTTTGCATCAATTATTAACGCATCTTAATAATTAAAACAAGTGCACATACAAATTGCGCAGCCGCTGTATTGACCAGCTCTTAATATTTAGATATTAGAAACTAATGCAAATAGAAATTGCAAAGCTATAAACAACTATTTTCTCTGTACTACTTATGTCTTCTTCTATTTTGTACAGATTTAATGTACGTGAGACATTTTCTGTTCGAATATTTAATAGTGAATTTCATATCTGCGTCGATATTGTTGGCGCACAAGAAAAGTAACACGTGTAAAAAATTGTTATATTGCAGAATAATGGTGTTATCTTGCAAGCAGGAGTTTAATTTGCGTCCAAAAACAGTTTAAGTACATAATAGCGTGATTGTGAGCTGTTTTTTATGAAATTAATACTAATGTAAATACGCTTACTAAATATGGTATAATATACACTTTCAAAATATAATTATTTTCAATATATCACTTTAATTGGGCACCAACGATAGTTCACGTTCATTTTTAGCAACTCATTTAACAAAAAAGAAGTAATATAGTTTTACTGACCAAGTTTTGCGGGCGTACGTAGGTTGCCTTGTCCTGGCGAAAGCGTGTCAAGTTCCCAGGTTTTGCTGGTTACGAAAAGAGTGCATTTTTTTACTGTATTGCCTATATAGTGAGGATGTCATGTACGTCATCATTGACATTATTACATTAAATATATATATAACCACATTAGCTATTCGCTCTTGCCAATGCCCTTCGCTATTCGCCAAGGTAACAGTCGTAATAACGAATTCTAAAATAACATTCAATTTTTCTATTTTTTTTCACGATAAAATAAACGTCAAGACATTCGTCGACTTTACGCAAGACTACCGAAATCTTCTCAGAAACTAATGAAAATGTACGCAAGAAAGAAGTGGATTGTTTTGGTTAAAATATGGAATAAATACTACTCTTAAAAGAACGTTTACAACACGTTATTTTGTTCCATTGTGTCGAGCTGTAGTTTGCTTTGATAATATAGTTTCATTACTATCCTGAACAGGCAAGGTATTTCTTTACATTATTTGCTCATTGAGAATTCGAAATACATCGACTACATTTAATAATAATAAACTGACACACGAAAAATGGTCTTATCAAATTATTCCACTCCAATCAATAATCAAGTAATTATTTGATTTGAAGCATCTGTGTACGTATCAAAAAGAATAAACTTACCCATTTATACGTGCCCGCATTTTCTAACCGCATAGATATAATTTATAAACCTCAATATAAGTTCCTAAATAGTCATTTCAGTTATTGTATGTACAATATTCGTTACCAATTATCTTTTATAAAATGAGCAATACTAATGTCTTTCATGCAAATCCATGATTTTAAGCCATAAATTGGTTGTGGCTCCTTACGTTAATCTATACTGATGATATTTTACTGAATTTACATTTATTCAACTTACTGCTCGTGATTTCTTAGAAGAACCAACATCACTTTTGAAATTGTGTACATTAGCAGTTGTACACCAAAATTGTGTAATGCTGAAAGTAATCGATCTCGATTTAAACACCGTACAAATTACTAGTGGTGCTACAGAATAACACAGACTTTCTTGTTAGTTCTCTATATCTTTGATCTCTGCTAGCTTTCGGACTTTCACATACTCTTGCCAGCTGCCATCAATCTCTAGTCAAGTACTTATTTTTGACATTATTTTATTTTTTAGTTTCCTAATAATAGAAGGAAAATATTATTTTCAGAATTTTAAAGAACAGTAAATCCTCGTCCTAAATAGCATTTTCTATGAAAAATTTGAAGTTTTTTTAATGGGGTTAAAACGATACTGTAAATTCAAAATTTGAAGCTCTTCTTCACAGAAAATTTTTGCATTTCGAAAAATTTCATTTCAAGTAATTTGAAGCACTTTGACTCACAAATACAATAGTGTTTACAAATTGCTGGAAATGTGCAAATAAACGGGGTGAGAGATCTTTCAAATAAATTAAATTGTTATTGTAATTTTCCAAAAAAGACGTACTAAACTTAATCTCATATTAAAGAGTGTAATTAGCACAACGCATTCGAAAAGTTTGAAGAGAAAACTTAAAGCTGTTTTTGAGAAAATGGCGTTTGAGCGTTTCTGGAAATGCGGAAATTTCAGCTAGTTTTCACAAAAAACGGTTAAGTTTTTGAGAAACTCTTTACGACATTATTTAAAGCACATGTACACAAAAATACATTAATGTGAACAAATTACTGCTAATGTAAATACAAGATCGTTGAAGTACAACCCTAATCTTTGAAATTGTGGATTTGTGATGGACAGAAAAGGTTTTGGAGGGGCAGGGCGCCAGCTTACTGGGGTGCGAAAATTGAAAAATTACTCATAAATGTAATAATGTGAACAAATTGACGCTAATATAAATATTAACGACGTGAGGGACAAGTCAAACAAATTAAATTTTTGTAGTTTGAAAAAACAATATAAAGGATAAGGATAATACAAAGGATAAAGCAATATGGTGTTTATGCCATCTTGTAGACATGAACCACTAGTTTTCTTTAATTGTTTCGTAAGGATGAAGCAAAATATACAGAATTCTACGGCACAATTTCATTTTTGTGATAACTTTTTAATTTTTAAAAATTAAATGTTTTTTCTCGGAAATTTCGAGTCTCATTAATATTTACATTGTATGTAGATGTATCTTCTGGTTTAAAGCACTTGTAAGAAACTCTAAAAGGTTATTATGAAGTTAATCAAAATTTGAAATTTTGTATTATTTTCTGAGAGAAAAAATACACAAAGTTCCAAAAAAGTGCTCCCGATTTTTTGGAACGTTTCAGTTTGAAAAGATGTTTTCCCTTCTGTGATAATGCGAAGACGAACCCTCACATTATTAGGGTCTGAAAAATTATGAAAATACTAAAAATGTTCAAGGTTTTTATTAAAACATAATATCTACATTCTGTAATATAAATATTACAGAATAAAAAACTGTTCTATCCTATCCTAACACTATCCCAAAAAATCCTATTAATTTAAAAGATAATGTATTCGGAACCTTTTTTGTAGGGTTGGCCAATTTAAGGAATTTGATGAATGCCAGGATGAACGTGTTTAAAGCTACCTTTCGAGGACTGCCCCCATGGCAACGAGTGTTATAAGTTATGTTGATACTTAGCTTTGCTAAACGCCTTACTGATTGGGCATGTAACAAAATTTCACCGTGAAAGTGAAATAGACCCTCGAAATCAGACGCAGAATGCTGTGTTTTATGCTGATCGCTCAAAGTAACTCTAATATTACATAACTTGCAATATAATATTTCACCTCACCGTTTCAACTAATTGGAGAAAATCTGTGCTATTATGATAATAGGAGTAGACAAGAAATTATAATTGCTCCTTGCTTTCATTAAGGCAGGTAGTGCCGTTCTCCTGTGTTCAGACGAACACTGGAAACAAATCTGGTCGTGTGAACATGAAGGTTATGGTTAGAAATAAAAAAGTACTGAAAATATTTTATCCCGTTAGTGAGGGTAATTTCCACTTTTTTGTTGGTCAATGTTTTAAAATAAATGGATGAAAAAAACAAAAAAGCGTTTGTAGGTTATTTTTGTAGTATTGTCTCTTCGAAATAGCATTTCAAAGCAAGTGAAAGCGATAGTCATTATGTATGGTAAGATCATTAGTGTTATGTTTGAAGGAAAACAATTATAAATATTTTACTGAACTAAAATTGAAACGCATAACTCAATATTTAACCTTCAAAAAGTAGCAAGTACACTGCAGTGGCTCTTTCCACTTTTAATTGGGAGCAGAGAATGTAGTGTCTTTCGGACTTAAAGGAAACGCGGGAAGTAACTTCTTTGACAACATACAACTAATAAAGGTTTTTTTCGCATTTCATCAGAGGTTTCGAAAGGTTACTTAGTATCTCTAAGGTTATCACGTAGCGTGCTGTTATGCGTAGGTAGAAAACAGAACATTTTGTAACTGAGAAGTTACTTTAACCACACTTATACTGGAAATTTGTCACTTACGCTCTCGAGATATTCAAGGGAGGCAACCGCTGCAAATTACGTCCATGGCACTGTCTTTCCGTTGGGAGCCTCATTCCCATCGCAGCGCCTGTCCGTTGCGCGCGCGCAGCGGGGCCGCGCGGATCAGTTCCCCTCTCGCCTCATCCGCTCCGAGCCGAAGGACGCGGCGCACTGGCGCTGCGTTGGCCCGCGCCCAGCCTACCGCATGCGACACTATGCCGCTCCCGTTTCGCATCACTTTCATTCAAGTATTCGAAAGTTGTGCCCCTGCGCCCGTAGCTGCGCGCGTAGAAAGCACGCGCACGCCCTCTCACTCGCTCACTCGCCCCCTCGCGCGCGCAGACACGCGCACACGTCGACGTGGAGGCTTCGATCTAAACATCGACTTATTAAATCCGGTATTTTAAACATCCAGATATAAAATGCGATGTTTTCACAACATCGATGTCGTATATTCCATGTTTTTACGCTTTCGATGAACTTTTTTGTTCGTAGATAAAATATTATCATAATCATAATTTTGTACAAGTTGAAATATGAAATAGTTACTGATGGTACTACAGTCCAATTATGTATTCGAACTGAACTAACGCTGTTTGTACCATTTTCATTGAGCAGACATCGTTCACCCGAGATGATGTCCTAGACTGCGATGATGCCCTATGATCCGTCGACTTTCGTTTTATAACTTTATTTTCAGTTAAATTTTAATTATCAATTAATGCACCACGACACAGTCAAATTACCGTGAGTTGTGACTTAGGGCATCAACTGATGCTACTGTGGTGCCTCTCAGCGGGAGGTGATAGGTTCGAGTCCCGACGGTGGCAGGATTTTCAACGCTGGCTAGATAGCTAGGTCGAGTTCTGTCACTATCTGGAGATTTCTAGCGGCTGGTTGCTCTGATCGGTAGGTTTCCGTAGTTTTCCAATTAATACCAGGCGAATGCCGGAACAGTACCCAGACGAACGTGCCTCGGTGCGGTAGCGATCTTTCCTTTCCATTCCTTTTTCTATCCTCATTTCTTATACACACACTTAAATCTTTCACGCACTACACCAACTTTCGTGACGGGAGACCACGGGGTGACGGCGCTGGGTGATACCTGGCTAGGGAAATCTCCAGTAGGTGGGGATACGTCGGCGTTGGATCTCATCATCCAGTGGGGGAGATCACCGCCATCTCCCTCCATTAAAATGCACTAAACGAATAAGAGGCCATATAATGGCCATATCAATTGACGTACCAAGGATCACTAACCCACCAACCAACGGCACTGACAAGTTAAATTTTGTTGCGCACAAATTAATGTATAATGTTACTTAACCAGCTTCAAAACTTCCATGGTTTTTCGCCGATATTTTAATTTTGAACATAGACGTATGGAAGTCTCAATGTTTTCGTCGATTCACGTCGCAAGCGCAGCCTCACGGGCCGGGCCTCCTTGCGCGTCACGGGTGGTTAGCAGTCGTTTCGGTCGAAAGCAGCGCTCTTTCATTGTGCGCGAAGGCCCAGCCGATTTGCGAGCTTTGTCCGCGCGACTTTCTTTTCCATTCATTGCCCGGGGAACAGACGGCCTCAAATTTCGAGCCGGAACCGTCACCCAAAGGAGTGTCGACGACTAACGCACATAAATAATATTTTTTTTGTTAAAACGAATACCTCTGTTGTAATAATGTTAACTAGGAGGATTCCTGAGAGCTTTCGCCCTTCGTAAATTATTGTTTTATGTCTGGTAGTGTGTGTAGGTACATAGATAAATATTTTAACAAACGTAAAATGTACTTTCTTGAACTAACATGAGATACAAGATTATGAACTTTCTGATTACTCGTAGTACGAAGAGTTGTTACTTACAAAATCTAATCATCCATAAATGTAATAGTAAACATAGCATAGTAAACCGGCTTTGGTGGATCATTGTTTCAACTGATGTCATTGCAGGGCCTCTGACCGTGAGGTTCTAGAGTTCAAGTCTGGACGATTGCAGGATTTTCGACACCAGCTAGTTCAAATTCACCCGCTGCCCGAAGGAGAATTCTAGCGGTAGTTTTCTGTTGTTTCTCAGATCAACAACAGACGAATGCCGGAGCAGTTCCCTAACGAACGGGCCATGAACCTCACTGGATTTTTCCTTCCCCTTGCTTGTTCTATCTTCACCCTTTACACACATACACTAACCAGGGAAACCAGATGGGAGCTTTGAAGTTGCTCGTCTCTGGCGGTGCCCGCAGGTGGGATACACCCCGCCACCCGATATATAGGTCTGCGCCAAATCTCACCGTCAGCGGGGAATCACATGCTACTTCCAAAAAAAACATGCATTACACTTACGGAACAAATAACCTTAGCATTTGAGGCGTCCGGAAACAAGAAAAATCAATCAGTATTATAAATTTCATATTATCAATGCAAGAAACATCAATTATTATGGAGAAAATAGTAAATTTGAATTTTTAATTAGATAATTGGGCATTGGGCAACTCAATAGTCTTTCGCTAATCTTCTTCCATTACATGAGAATTAAAATTCACACAAATATGACTGGCTAGCAGAGAATCTACTCATACGAAAATGAGTGTGGGTAACTACTGCTCTTTGTAGTGATTTCTTCATAGGAACATATTTGAGGAGCAACCACAGTGTATATTAAGATGTCGCTACATGCTGGGGTTATCTCGATTTCTGTGAAACAAATGCAAAGTTGGCCCTACGCTTGTCTGCGCGTTGCACTTGAATTGACTTGGGGTTGGGGCGTAAGGAGTCAACAGTCTGGTCGCCCGAAGGAATTATCAACAGTTTTGCTCCATTTCAATCACTGCTGTAAAAAAGAAAGAATAAAGTATTCTGAGATCATTATTTTATAAAAATGTTTTTCAGTTGGCAATGAGGATATGTGACTTTCAAAAAATGTAATTCAATTGTAATACAATGCAAAAAATGCATATGTAGCACGGATTGCATGCTCATCTACTTATTTGCATTTCCGGCGTTTGCTATCACGTATATGCTTACGTATTAGGTATTTTGCTTGTTCATCTTTGAATAAAGAACATAACTTAAACAAAGGTTTTGAATTTTAAAATGCAACTAGGGTATTTGAAAAATAAAAATTATTGAAATTAGAACGGGCATATTATGTTTTCTAATATTTGTGGAGAGGTGGTGGATAGGAAGTGAAGCAACATGTTTTCCTTTGACACAGTCTGCTCATAAGAGAAGACAAGACGTCCGTGTGAATTTTTGGCAAGAAACGTAACCTCCATTAATTCATCCGTAACCTCAGCAGGTCCTCGCGAGCTTTCACCCTTCATTCGAAGTCAGGGGCCATCGCGATCTGCGGCAGTACATCATATTAATGCATCCGTACATTCTTTCGTTTGAAACTGCAAGGCAGGTTATGCAATAAGAGTGTCAAGTTGTCCTGAATGGAATTCAAGATTATTTTTCTGGGAATTCAAAATATCTTTCGCAAATTTCCTTTGGGCTCTATTATGCATTATTTATACTGAACATTTATTCACTACTTTCGTGACATTAATTGGTTTCACATTCATTGATTTTAGTTTTATTTCATTCATATATTTATAGTTACGTTTACTACTAGGTAAATAGTGACTGTTCAACTGAATATATTTTAGAGCAATAAACAGATTAGTTATTCATACGTTTTATATATTTTGGGAATTACAATAATCTTACAAATCAGTACTTATTAATAGTAGTATCAAAAGAAAGAAAAATAGTTTTAGAGTAATTATAATGAAAACAAAGCTAATATAAGCAGTTGTTTCTAAATATCACTGTAGTAATCAAACATTTTCCTGTGATAGGCCTCAGCAGTTAGATTGTTTTCATGTCGGACTTCTATTTGATGTTTTTGCCTAACACTTTTGTGTATAGTTCATTCTATACGTTATACATTTAGATGCACAATACAATGATCACGTTTAGGAGAATTCCCAACCATTAAAATCACCTGAGATAATTTCCAGAGATCAGTTCTTAATCCAGTAGTGACTTCTTAATCTTTCCCTATGAACTTTTGAATTTTTTTTATTAATCTATCATTGGAGAACCGTTTGTGTGTAGCCTTCATAGATTCCCATCCTTCGTACAGTATATTTTTCATTTTATTAAATACTTTATATAATTGTACCAGTTCTTGAATGTATATGACATCACTTGCGGCAGTTACACGGGGGGTAGTCATGTCGTCATCGGGAGTAGTCGTTTCCGAATCAGGAATACGCTTTGGAGGCGAAGTTCTTGATAAAGGAGTTTCTTTTAAACTAGGTCTTTGAAGGTCATGAATTAATATTTTTGGTGCTGTTCTATTTTATGAAAATGTTCCCCATTTTTTATCAACTTTCGGCCAGGCCAAGCAGGCCGAGCTGGGTCCTTACCGGGCGGAGGAGGTCCGGGATACACTAGCATTAATTTCCTTTCCTGACAGACGAGTGTTATTAATAATACAAGAACAATTGAGGTTCGCTTTTTTCATCTTCAAAATAGTATAAAAAATTACCAATGTTTAAGACATAAGTTTGTACTAATGATAATGTTTTCGTAGATACGTCCTTAAAATCCACTTCTCCAAATTTTCAATATTTTTATTCGGAAACAATTTTTTAATACTTTGAAGTGTTATCTCTCAGAAGTCAATATTTGGGTGCAAAAGCCTACTCAAACCATAGATCGTCTTGGTAGATCAATAATCAGGACAACGGACGTAAACTAGGAATCTTTGCCTTGAGGATATGTTTCTAAACCTTGAATAAGATTAATTTTAAAATGTAAGTATAAAGACATTTAAAAATTCCAGTCTAAAAACACGTTTAAAATTATAGAAAGGGTTGAAGGGTTAATAGAGTTTGAAATAATTTGAATTTTTTTATTGTCAGAATCATTGTTCAAAATGTTTTTACTTCACTCCTCTAGGACAGATTTTACCATCTTGTCTGGATATACGTGTTTTGAAGTAAGTTATCATGACACTAAAATAAAGTCCATTGAAAAAGTTTAAACATACATTCTTTAAAAAATACTCTTACACTATTACATGACACTATTTCGGAAT